AATCTGCATGAATATTAACTATACAAAACAAAAGAAGTAATGTCTTTTGGAGGTGAAAATATATGTAGAATTATAATGCACAATAAACAGTAACACTAAAGTCAGGAGTGGGGATAAATGGAGTTAAAGTATTCTAAGATCCTTGCATTGTCTTGTAAGGAGAAAAGTTACTATTTTACATGAAATGTTAATAAGTCAAGGATGAATGCTTTAATATCCAGTCATCTTTTAAAGAAAAAGAATATATAACTAATAAGTGAATAGAGGAAAAACCAATTAGAATAATAACAAAAGAAATCAAGAAAGGAGAGAAACAGAAAGATAAAACAGGTGGGAACAACAGAAAGCAATTTGCGAGGTGGTAAACTTATGCCCAAACATATCAGCAATTACAATAAGTTTAAATTGACTAAATATTTCTATTTAAAAATAAAGGCTGTTACACTGGCTATTTGATGATATTGAATCGACAAAGAGATGCACTTAAAATGCAAGACTGAAAGTGAAGCACTAATCAAAAGGAAGTTATAGAAACATCCTAGTAGCTTTTAAGGCAAGGAGCAGTCCTAAAGATAGAGACATTTCATACTATAAAGAGGAGAGAGAGGGAATAAATTTTTCTAAACAAAACAGGAACAGACTATGGCCAGGATCAAACCGGCAACCCAAGTATGTGCCCTTGACCGGGAATCAAACCCAAGACCCTTCGGTGAGCAGGCAGACACTCTAACCACTGAGTCACCAAGCAGGGCCATGCTGGGAGATTTAACACAATTTTCTCAGTAACCAATTGAACAAGGAGACACAAAAAATCAGGAAGGAAATAGAGGGTTTGAAAATCTGGGTTAACTTTTACCTGTGTACAGAAAATCTGGGTTAACTTTTACCTGTTCCCCTGAAATTGTCTCTATGGCCCCAGCTGCAAACACCAGGCTCCAGGAGATGGCCACAAATGGAGCCCAACACCTCCCCCAGGGTTACTGATAGGCCCCGAGGTGTCTGTGCAAGAAGCTGGAGAAAAGAGACTGTCTTCCCTTCATCGTCCTCAGCCTGTGGGGAGAGCAGTGTGGTGGGCAGAGGGGATTCTTTCCTTTCTCTGTGGGGAGGGCCGCACCTCCCGCCAGGTAAGGGAGATTCCCAGAGGACAATTTGAAAGATCCAGGTGCCCACAATGGTTCTGCGTCTCCTTCAGCGGCTGAACTGATCTCCCCCGAGCCTACCTGATAGGACTGGGGGAAGGTGATGAGAGACCAGGCAGGCAGTGGGAATGGGGCTGCCTCACAGTCCAATGGGCCAATACGCCACCCACAAGAGGGGCTGTGGTATCCCCCTGGAGAGGGTGGGGATAGGGAGAGTGAAAGTGTTTGAACTACACCAGCTTTCTCACATGAAGAAAGTGTGCAGCTTGGGGCTTGGGAGCATGGTTTGCACTACAAGAGAGCCAGCATTCAGCAGTCAGCGCTGAATGAAGTGATAGCCAAAGGGGAAAACTTTAAATCTACCAGCCAGTAAGTAAAAAGACACCTGCCTTTTCCCACCTGCCCTCTGGGATGACCCCAGCTCTGGGGGAGCTGGAAACAGACCAGCTCCTCTTCACTTTCCAAGTGTCTCAAGCCTGGGGCTGGCTTGGGAGGTGCCCTGGGATCCCAGCTTCCTCCCTTACTTATTATGAGGCACTTCTCTCCCCAAACGCCCACACTCCTCCTTCCTGGCAAGCCCTTGAGTGGTGATGCTCCAGGCCCCTGTCCTCATCCCTGCAGACAGGAGTGGCTTAGGGGAGCAGAGTGATGAGGGAAGAGGGACTGGAGGGCTTTAAAACGTAGGGTTGGAGCCGCCTTGCTGGCTGGTCTTTTAAAAGTCAAGCTCTACTTGACACTTGGGCCTGCACACCCAGCAAGGTGGCTTTTAAGAGATTAGGGACTGTGGTTTCCCTGGGAAAGGCGTCAGCATAGCGGGATTCAGCTGAGCCTGGCTTGTTAGGATCCTCTGCCCATCTCTCTAGGCAAAAATGGGTCCCAAAGGGTGATTTACAGCAGACTACTGGCTTCAGGCCTCTATTTCTTTTTGTTGTTGTTGTTATTTATTCTTTTTTTTCTTTTTTTGTGTGTTCAGGCCTCATTATTATTACTATTATCATTATCGACAGCTGCCATGTATTGAGTGGGGTCTACATGCTACACGTTGTACTAAGCCCTATGTATGCATTTTCTTCTTATTCACATTTTTTAGAGTTGAGGGCTTTTGCCAGGGAGGCTGAAACACTTATTGAAGTGACACAGCCAGTGAGTGAAGAAGCCAGGACCCCATCCCAGGTCATTCCAGCTCCAGAGCCTTTGTTACAGCCTCAGCATCACACCCTCTCCGAGTGCTGAGGGGGGTAAATACACTTGCAGTGTGCCATGAGCTGAGGACTACTGGAAGCATCACTTGCGTTCTGAAGGGAAGGTTCTCTCATAACAACATAATGCAAATAATTTAAAATGAGTCTGAATTTCAAAACGTTGCCACAAATGCAGGTCCTGCTTTTCCTACATTTGGCGTAAGAATTCTTGGGTAGCCAAAATAACCTTGAACAAGCCCAGTGAAGACGATGTGAGAAACCAGAAATAGGAAGAGGCCACTTGGGACCTCATGAAAGTTCAAGTGCAGACACCATTTTTCACTGTCTTAAGAATATGTTACTTTGCTAACACCTCGTGCTGAGAATGGAGTCCAGCGACCAGGGCGGACTCCGGAGGGGGTGTGGAAGCAACTCCCCTGGAAAGTGAGTTTGTGTGCGGCTAATAGCTGAATAACACCTGGGAAGTTCGCTTCTTCCAGCTCCTGACACAACTGACAACCCCAATTTTTATACATGTGAGGCCAGTTGAGAGACCACTTATGGTCCTTCAATGCCCAGACAATTCTTCAAACTTGAGCTAAATAAAGCACTCATGGGGACTTTTTGTCTCTAATGCTGTCAGTACTGAGTGAGAGAAATTCTAGACGCAGATGCTTAAGTAAGATGGGCCGGCGTGTTAAGAGCTGTTCCATATGGGAAAGGGGCCAGCGCTGTAGATGGCTGGACCATATTTTGATGGAACTGTTGGCTTTTTTTCTTTAATATATTTTTATTAATTTCAGAGAGGAAGGAAGAGGGAGAGATAGAAACATCCATGATGTGAGAGAATCATGGATCCGCTGCCTCCTGCATGCGCCCTACTGGGGATCGAGCCCACAACCCAGGCATGTGCCCTTGACAGGAATCGAACCTGGGACCTTTCAGTTCTCAGGCTGACGCACTATCCACTGAGCCAAACTGGCTAGGGCAATCCTGTTGGCTTTTTAAAAGATGGAGTGAGGCCCTACCTGGTTTGGCTCAGTGGATAGAGCATTGGCTCACAGACTGAAGGTTCCTGGGTTCAGTTCCAAGGAAGTGCATGTACCTCAGTTACAGGTTTGATGCCGGCCCTGGTGGGGCGCATGTGGGAGGCAACCAATACCTCTCTCTCTCTCTCTCTCTCTCTCTCTCTCTTTCTCTCAACATCAATGCAAAAATATCCTCGGGTGGGTGAGGTTAATGAAAAAAAACACACAAAAAAACAAGGTTACCAGGGGTGGGGAAGCTAATTAAAAAGAATGACGGGAATAGCTAAGAATGGTCTCTTCTTTTTTCAGTCCCGGAGATGTTTCTACTTCTATCATCACCAATAACCCATTACTGTGTGTCCAACAACAACATCTTACGTTCTCACTCAGGCCCAGGATAAAGAAATAACCCTGGGCCATGGTGGGAGCTCTTTATCTGGAGGAGGTTGAGGTAGGGAAAAGTAATCCTTCCCCAGGAACTGGTCACAGAGATTGGCTACGCCCGGTGGGTACACTGGACTTCTTCAGGTCGTAAGGCCACAGCTCTCTCATCAGGTCAGTTCTTTCTCGGCGCTTCACCCTCCAGGTTTTTGTGCGCGATCTCTACTGGCTCTCACAGGCAGGGTTTATGTTGCATAAATTCCAGTGGTGAGGTCATCCCCATGGAAGGTTTCCATATATGACAGGCCTCGCCGCTGAGCCCAGGAGCATTCCCAAGGCCCTTTCACTGATGATGTCCAACAGCAAGGTCTTGGCTGGACTCCCACACTGAAGAGGCAGTGGGGCTTTGGTTTCTGAAAACAGGAGAATTGTCCTTTCTGTCCAATTATAAAAGTGTTCTCTGTAGAATATTTGGAAAATTCAAAGTATAGAGGGGGAAAAAAGATCATGCCATAATTCCATCACCTACAGATAACTAATATTAACATTTTGGTGTACTCATTTCTCACAGGTTTTACTAATGCATGTATCTCTGTATGTTTTAGGAGGGCAGTCTTGCATTGTGGTTAAGAATGTGGTTTGGAGGTCTGAGACAACTCATTTATAGTTCTGTGGGCTTCCACCACTTAATCTCTTTAAGTTTTATCTCCTTCAGCAATGAAGTTTGCACATACTCAGTCTAGCCCTCCACCAGTATGATAGTATTTTAACTTATAGGTTTATAATAAGAGCTATCTGGTAAGAAAATTTCCCCCAATTTTTAAAAAAATATTTCTAACTTCACTGGTATTCAGGGAAATGCTTATTTTTTAAAATATATTTTTATTGATTTCAGAAAGAGAGAGGAATAGAAACATCAATGATGAGAGAGAATCATTCATCAGCTGCCCCCCACTGGGGATCAAGCCAGCAACCTAGGCATGAGCCCTAACCAGGAATCAAACCACGACCTCCTGGTTCATGGGTTGACACTCAACCACTGAGGCACACCGGCCAGGGCAGTAAGGTCTGTTTTTCATGATTACCTTCAGATTTCTAGGTAGAAACTTAGTTTGCCTCTAAAAGCTATGTCTCCTTTCCAGTAGTAAATTCTCTATCCTGCTTCCTCATAGTGCCTAGTAGATGATCCTTTCAGGACACTGCTGAATTAACAGTAGTTAGGATGGGTCTGTTCCTGACAATATTACTTCTTTATTAAAAATGATGTTGGGGTGCTGGCTTCGGCAGGACGTATACTAAAATTGGAACGATATAGAGAAGATTAGCGTGGCCCCTGTGCAAGAAAAAAAATTATGCTGGGTGTTGTTTCAGAAAATATATTTTATCATGTTAATGAAGCTTCTTTCTTTCCTAACTTATTAGGGGAGTTTTAAAAGTAAAGAATAAGCCCTAGCTGGTTTGGCTTAGTGGATAGAGTGTCCACCTGAGGACTGAAGGGTCCTAGGTTCAATCCTGGTCAGGGGCACATGCCTGGGTTGTGGGCTCGACCCCCAGTGGGGGGCGGTGTGCAGGAGGCAGCCAGTCAATGATTCTCTCTCATCATTAATGTTTCTCTTTCTCTCTCTCTCTCTCTCTCTCTCTCCCCCTTTCTCTCTTGAAAAAAAAGAATAAATGTTAATTTTCATCTTCAAATACTTTACTATCTACGAGAGACTCTCAGGTCTGTTATTTTCCTTTGACCTAGTTCTGTGATGTGCTATATCAGTGGAAGCATTTTATAGGGCCATCAATACCTTCTCAACAAACCATGTGCATCCGGGGCTCTGGCGTCAGGCAGATCTGGGCTGCCTTCCTAGTCTGCCACTTACTAGCTGGGGGTTAGGGGCAAGTTCTAAATGCAGATGCACAATAAATGCTGGCAGTTTTGATACATTATTCTTTTACACTATTAATAAATTTGTTAGTGCTTCATTTAGGAGTTTTGCATCTATGTTATTGAAAATGGTGTGAAGCGTGTGTATGTGTGTGTGCATGATTTATTAGGTATGCTCACAAAAATGAATTAGGTTGCTTTTCTTGTTTCCTATGATTTACAGTAGTTAAAACAGCAAGAGATATTTATACATTCATGTCCACAGCAGCACTATTCACAATAACCAGAAGTGGACACAACCCAGTTGTCGACTGTGGGATGAATGGATACACAAAATGTGTTGTATAGATACAATGGAATATTATTCAGCCTTAAGAAGGAAATTGTTACATGCTACAACACAGATGAATCCTGGGACATTATCTAAATAAAATAAGCAAGTCACAAATAGATAAATACTGTGTGATTCCACTTACATGAAATATCTAAAGAAGTCAAATTCTATGAGACAGAAAAGAGAAGAGTAGTTGCCAGAGGCTAGGAAAGGAGGAAAAGGGAGATGTGGTTCAATGGGTACAGAGTTTCAGTATTGTGAGATGAAAAAGTTTTGGAGATTGGTTTCACAATAATGTGAGTAAACTTAACACTACTGAACATTACACTTAAAAAGATTAATATGGCAAATTTTAAATTATGTGATTTCTTTTTACAATAAAAAATGGCATAAGGATGATCTGTTTCTTGAAAGTTGGAAAGAACTCACTCATAGAAGCATCACGAGATAATACCTGCACACTTTTTTCCACGTCATTAGTATTGATTTTTTAGTCTTTTATTTAAGATAATTGTGGTTTCATTCACACGTATAATTATTTTTTTACTAGAAAGCCATGTATTTCATTGTGTAGCAAATTAAGTAGCCTAATTATACGTAGAACTTTCTTGTAACATGCATTTGTTGTATCTCCTTGTTCATTTCTAGTTTTTTTTCTGTCTTTGGCAATTTTATTGTGTTTTTTTTTTGTTTGTTTGTTTTTTAAAGAATGACATTATGAACTTATCTACCAATTCTCCTTTTTTTTAAAAAAATATATTTTACTGATTTTTTACAGAGAGGAAGGGAAAGGGATAGAGTTAGAAACATCGATGAGAGAGAAACATTGACCAGCTGCCTCCTGCACACCTCCCACTGGGGATGTGCCCACAACCAAGGTCTATGCCCTTGACCGGAATCGAACTTGGGACCCTTCAGTCCACAGGCCGACGCTCTATCCACTGAGCCAAACCAGTTAGGGCCAATTCTCCTATTTTTAAATTCAGTAATATATGCTTTAATATTTCTCTCTTCTTGGCTTTCCTCATATATTTCAATATTCTTTTTTGTAATTTGAAGCAAATGCTTCATTCATTTCTTTTGATTCTTTCTTATTAAATAATTAAAGCATCTAAATTTCCTTCTCTACAATATGTAGAAATTCCAGAAGTTTTAATTTGTGATATCGCATTATCATTCATTTCTAAATAAAGACAAATGATTATATATGTATTTATTTTCTCATGCTTTCCTTCTTTTACCTTCTAAAGGGTAACCTTCTATGATTAACTTATTAATTTTTAAATTGTATAAACTTTAAGATCATTATTCAAAATGTGTGCATATTTACTGTACAGGACCAGGCAACAGCAGGACTGTTAGGGCAAGGCGGAGCAGTCCAGGCTGCCTCAGGGCCACACAGGGAAAGGGGGATAGTGACAGGCGAGGCACTCTCGCTTCCTCACTTGGCCCCACATTCCTACCCACGCTAGAACTGCAGGAGAAATAATTTCCAATATCCCACAGGTTAAGAACCCAATAGAAGAACAAGAATAGAGAGAGTTGGCTTTTAGGAGAAAAGTTCCGTGACCACTAACCTAAATGATAAACACTGAACATATTCCGGACATAAAATTTTCAAATGAAGCAAAACTTCATACATTTGCAGACTTTTCACTACAGAATTTTGATATTAAAAAAAACCACTCCTCTCCTATCCAAACTATTTACTCTTCTGCCCCCACCTGAGGGTCACAAACAATACCATCACTTCCAGGCCACCTTAGAACACAAGCTCATAGAAAGAAAAGCACAGGATCAATTGCAGCTTTAAACACCTTCCTAAATGTTGCCCAACTCAGAAAAGAATAATCAACACAAAAAATTGGTGGTGGTGGGGGAGGCGGGCACGGGAATACAATCATTTACGTGGAGTGTAACCTGGAACTCCAAATAAAGGCTCTATTATCGTCATCTGAAAGCTTTTAGGACCTAGGGAGGAAGTTGAGACAGCACCAAAATGCACAGATGACTTCACAGCCCTGGGTGATGGCAACAGGTAGACAAGAAACACAGAACAATTAAAGGTGAACTGGGACACACCTGCACAGCAGTACATCTCAAATTTCATATTCCCTAAAACTAGACCTTTTAGTCAGCCTGTTCAGACGAAGCTTGATCAAATAGATTGCTCTAGAGCACACATGAACAAATAAATTAATTGCTTTTTATTGTAGAGGAAAAAATATCCTGAAATATTTGTTAAATAACATATTAGTAATTCCCAACAAAATCATCCTTCAGGGTTGTCAAGTTCACCATCTGGTCAGACACAGGGAGCTGTCCCTAGCTCTCATAATAAACTTTATTAACATTGCCATAAACCACACAAAAACCCAGAGATTTTCTGAATGGCTTCCAAATTTCTGCAAAGATGTCCTTAATTAGTCCAAAGGTAAACAATAAACAAGTTGGCAGAGAAATTAGGAGAGCTGAAAGAAAAAAATGTTAACAATTGGGGAATCTAGAACAAAGAGTATATTAGTGTTCATTATACCCTTCTTTCAAGTTAATTTCTTAGTTACAGGCAGACTGAAAAGTTGCTTTAGCATGATTGTGCTATTTTCCAGACTTGCCTAAAAATATATATTCAAATATTTCTTTTCAAATCAGAAATAGAAAGAGTTCTCTCCCAGGTGATACTCACTTTCTATTCTGCCTAAAAAAGCCTCCAGAACTTTATGGAAAGTTTAAATTAAGGGGCTACAGTACACTGATGTGGTTTTATAGTTCTTGACAGGTGTTTGGGTCAAATCTCATCGCAGGTCTGTGATGGTCACTGCTCTGTCCACAACAGTCACATGGCTGCAGCTCTGTAACAGAAAAAGAAAGAAAGGGGAAGTCCTGGAACATTCTGAAGTCATTTTTTAAAGTTTCTTATTTAACAATGCTCATTCTGGCTAGTGGTTCCCAGTTTGGAAGCCAGATTGCTACTTAACTGGCAGTTACAGTAAAGGGTCTAGGAATCATTACTTCCAACATGGGCCTATCTATCCTTGTTTATTTTTCAAATGTATCTATACTCTAGAGCAGGGGTGGGCAAACTTTTTGACTCGAGGGCCACAATGGGTTCTTAAACTGGACTGGAGGGTCGGAACAAAAGCATGGATGGAGTGTTTGTATGAACTGATATAAATTCAAAGTAAACATCATTACATAAAAGGCTACGGTCTTTTTTTTTTTTTTTTTAGTTTTATTCATTTCAAACGGGCGGATCAGGCCCGTGGGCTGTAGTTTGCCCACGGCTGCTCTAGAGTCATTCAAAAGGTGTATGTTTACCTAAAAGAATTGCTGACTTCATTGCCGTTTTTTGGGTCACTATGTCAATCAGAAAATAAAGCACTCCTCCTTGCACATGGGGAATGCTCCCTTTTGGCATGCAAAAAGGGGCTTTATAACTGAGAATCTGGACATTTTGGGGGATTGCACAGCCTCTGTTTTAACATCCTGGCCCCTAGACATTTATTACTTTCCAAGGTGGACTAACCTGTTTTTCTAACCTATACTTTAAGGATTTTTAACCTAATATTTTTTTCCTTTTTACTGAATTTATTGGGGTGATACTGGTTGACAAAATCATACAGGTTTCAGGTGCACAATTCCACAGACTAACCTATTTTTTTCTTATAGATCTGTCAGAAAGTTGTTCTCATTCTCAGCTGAAAACTGTCATTCCATGAGGTCTAAGTTTTAGTTCTGAGTCATAAGAAATACACCCAATATCTTTTTATACAACAGTTCTTCTAACAGTAAAGCCAGTTCTCAGATTCTCCCTGGAGTTTCTCTTCTAAACACCCCCAGTTCCCTTTACACGACAATGTTCTGAGTCTCTTTTCCAGATTGGTCACTTTTCAATGAACCCAAAAGAAATAACACTCCATGCCCAGCATGGAGTGGAGTGACACTATCACAGTAGAGGGGCATACTGCAACACATTGAACTTATCAGCAACTGAAACTTTTTATTCACACAATTCAACTTAGGGGAAAAACTTCCTAAGAAGGTCATAAAGTCCCTATTATCTAAGTAAAATTCCAGAATCAAATATACTTTACTTATTGTGGCTTTTTTCCTATGATTTCAAATCTTTTATTGAAGTACTAGAAGCATGGTGCACAGATTCGTGCACAGGTGAG